AACCCGTCTCTTGGGGTGACCAGATGTTTCCTTAACACCCCCTCTCCCTGAGCCTGTGCAGAGGCAGGGGCTGGAAGCTGGCACCTCCAAGTGCCAACCTCAGCTTCTTTTCCATGTGGCTCTGCCTGTTATTCTCTCTCTCCTTGCCAATTCCAGTGGATGCTGACTCATGGGGCAGGGTAGAACTTTCCCTGTGGGTTTCCCAGACTGGAACTCTTTACGGGAGTAAGAGATTCATCTTTCTTCCGCTGTGCTACTGGTGGCTTTGAACTGCTCACCGCAACTGACACTTAGCCCACTGCGCCACCAGGGTAGCTACATAGGTCTTACCGCGACCTAGTCAATTCTGACCCCTGCAGGTTTCTGGGGAGTCACGGTAACTCTTTAGGGGAGGAGAGAGCCTCACCTTTCTCCCAAGGAGTGGCTGGTGTTTTTTCGAGCCTCCACCTTGCAGGTAGCAGCCCAACCAGACGGACAAATGAAGAACATTCTGTGTGTATGTGTGTGTGTGTGTGGGGGGGGATCTTTGCTTTTCACCCATTTTTACACAATCTGAGGGTGTCCTGTTGCTGGCATGTCCCCTTGCAGCGGGCTCACTTTGAAAATCCAAACAGCATGATTATCCTGGGCCTTCACCCTATATGCTTTTAGTGGGGTCTGGTAGATTTCAGGGGGGAAACACAAGAGTCCAGGTAAGCTGGTGATGATGTGAGGCTTATGATGGCGAGGAGGGAGAGGAACCGACAGTCAACCACTGGCTTCAGGCTTTGATTGAACCCTGACCCCCTCCCGCCGACCGAAGTATGGAGCCTTGGCGGCCCATGATTTAAGTACCTTTAGGCTGCTAGCTGAACGGTTGGTAGTTCAAACACACCAGCTGCTCTGAGGGAGAAAGATGAGGCTGTCTGCTTCTGCAAAGAGCATATTTTGGAAGCTCTGAATAGGGTCACTATAAGTCATTAGTGACTCAATGGATGTGTCTGTTTAGGGGCTTGGGGGGTTTCCCCCTTTTACTGAGATCCGCTGGTATCAGATGACTTCTGAC